GCATCAGCCTTCCACTCTGCTTCTTATTCAGCCTTCAACCTGCTCCTTTCCTACCTCCTCAGTATGTGGGGCGGTGGGTGGGGGGGTAGGTGTTTCCTATGTCAGCGTGTAGAAACCTAGCTGCATTGTTGTCTTGTTGTGTGTGTGTGTGTGTGTGTGTGTGTGTGTGTTCTTTGTATCTGAACAGTTACCTATTTAAATACAACCTTGAGACTATTTCAAGTCTGCTTCTTTGACAGCTTGTGTCCTGTGTAGGTTTCTTTGTACCGTGAGTCCCATGTGTGTGGGGTGATTTCCTCCAGGAGGAATTCAGATCCCAGGATCCTAAGCACCGCTGAGCACCCCTGAGGGCTAGCCTGCCCCGAAAGGAGTTCAATGACTCTTCAGGGTTCCTGCCCTGGCAGCATCTTCTGCAGGTTAGGCAGCCCAGGGATTGGGAGGAACTTTGCTAGGGTCCCATCGACAACGTGCAAGCAGACAGAGAGTTGGGTGCTAGTGGTGCATGCATTCCCACCCCTGGTACCTATTCAGGCAAGGCTGGCGTGAGAGCTGGGGTCCCAGGTCAGAGAGATTTCCGCTGCTCACCTGCCCTTTCCCTGGTCCCGCTTTGTCTTTCTTCTCACCACCCACCTTCTCTTCTTACCCAGGCTGCTGATTCACCTTGTGGTGCAGGTTGCTTTCTGGTCCTCCCCATGCCCGTGACCCCCTGGATGTGCTCGTTCCCTGCACGTCCTGGGAGGGACTGGCCAGGCCCCATCCTGAGCACACCCCACCTTCCATGCTGGGGGCGCCTCTCTTTACAGGGGGTACCGGGTTACTTCACTTCCTTTCCCACGTCTTCAGACTGTTTCTCTAGCTGTTGAATTAGTGTGTAATATTTTTCAACCAGTAAACACAGAGCCTCTGTTGGATCATGACCCCACCACAGGTTCAGTCATTGATGCCTCAGACTTCTTGCTATGCTCCTTTGCTTCCCAGCGTCCAAGCTAGCAATCACAAGACAGTGTCACATTAGGTAGCCGCCAAATGAGGGAGACTCTGAAAATGTCTTTGCAGTTAGGGTGGAGGGAACAGACCAGCGGGTGAAGGTGGCCCTGGAGGTGGGCCTTCAAGGGCAGCGCCTTAGGATAGCTCAACTGCATCATCGTGGACGGTGATATGAGTGAGCAGCCGCCGTGACCGGCAGGCAGGGCGCTGTGCACGCGAAGCTGGTGCATAGAGAAGTGAAGACCTGGGCCAAGGCCGTGTTGCAGCTGAGCCCGGCTCCATCCCGGGTCTGTCTGCCTCTCACCTCCTGCCCCTCACCGCCCGCACAGCCGGGTCCCTCCACCACTGGCACCCCTGGTCCCTCGGCTGATGGCATCTTTGTCATTCTAGGACTTCTGCCATGGGCAAGTGATGTGGCCGCCCCTCAGTGCCCTGCAGGTGAAGCTCGCTGAACCCGGGCAGTCATGCAAGCAGGTCTGTCAGGAGAACCAGCTCATCTGTGAGCCTTCATTCTTCCAGCACCTCAACAAGGACAAGGACATGCTGAAGTAAGTGCGGGGCTCTGGCCAGCCGGCCTCCCGCTCATTTGGGTTCAAGTCAGGTTGAGAGGGCTGAGGTTTTCGTTTCTAGGCTGAGGGGCTGTTGGAATAAGGCGTGGAAAGCGAAGCCGGACGCAGCACAACCCCCCTCCCCGGCCCAGAGGAAGTTGGCCCAGCCTTTTGGTTGTTATTTTATTAGGTGTCATTTGGGTAGCATTTCATTAGATGAGGTCATCTGGCCTCCTGATAGATTTAGAATTTGAAGAGGGGGTGTATTTGCATGAATACTGCCAAGTCCGGGCTTGGAGGTTGTGGGCGGTGTTCAGTTCGCTAATGTTGTGCCCAAGAACCGTGGGGGCTGAGGTGGGCAGAGAATCACAAGCACCATGGACCTGCCCCAAAGGTCTTCTGGCAGTGGATGGCCCAGATGGCCCCTAGCAGAGTGACAGTCTTCCGCCCCCAAGTCAGGAAGGAATGAAAAATACGGGCAGGGAGCTGGTGCAGAACTGCCCCCAGCAAATTCTGCTGCCGTCTTCCCCTCCCACAGCCCCGGCCACTTTTGCACTTTCTTCTGGCCCCTTTGGAACGAGGTGCATCACAGGGGAGTGTGAGCAGGCCTGGCTCTGCCGGGTCCCGAGCAGGGGAGGTGGGTGCAACGCTGGGAACGTGGACCTGAGCTGCACCAGGCGGGGGGCCTTCTGTGTCACCGGCACTCCCCTTGTGGTGGCATTTTGAGTTCGGTGTTTGCAGTTCCCAGATCTCCACGTGAGGGTCCTTCTGGCCTCTGACTCGTGAGCCCTGCCAGTGCTAAATCTGTGCCCTGACATGTTGCGTACCCACCGTGGCCACAACCTGGTTCATCGCCTGCCACCCCTCCCAACCATAATAGCTCTCCTGAGGCGTCTTCCCCTGAGGGGTTCGCTGTCCCGCCCGAGCTGTCCGCAGGGCGGGGTCCTGCCCCAGTCTTGAAGAGGATGTGTAAGGAACAGAGTGGCCTCAGGGCGCACAGCTTGCCTGTCCCGTTCTGGCTTCACGCCGGGTAGAGTGCGGGTGTCCGCGCACCGCCTTGTTCTGGCCTGGCCGGGCCTGCCTGTAACTCCCCAGTGCGGTGGAAAGCCTTTTTGAGAGAGAGCGCGTGGCCTCTAGCGGCTCGCCTGCAGGGACGCCTCCCGAGGAGGGACGCAGGAGTGCTCTTTCTGTCGTTCTCTTTACGTGAAGACCGCGATCAGAGGCGGCCTTGATTCTACCGTCAGAGCAAAGGCCAGGCCAGCAGAGTCAGTTGGCGGCCTGCTCTGCAACCCGGGAAGCCTCGTTAGAGGGAGCGTTGGTCTGTGTCTGTGTCCAGTGTGGCCAGAAACTTCCATCTCCAGAGCACATATCCCAGATTCTAGGTCCAGGAGGAGCTGCCTGCTCGCTCCTTTTGTAAACAGTTCCCACACCAAGGGGCTTTTTGAGGACCCCAAGTATCTCCCTGTGTTTGGTCAAAGTCTGGATTCACTAGGGATGGGTTACAGACTGTCCGCACAGATCTGTCCACGTGCAGCCCCCATCCTGTCTCTGGAGGGGGGGAACCCGATGGGACTCCTCACAGCCTGGTCCTTCCTGGCCTCCTGCGGGCCCCACATATCTTGCCTGTCCTGCAGTCAAGGTCTCAGTCCAGCAGAGGGACAGGAAGGGAAGCCAATGGACCAGTTTCCTCTGTTCCATCCATTTTCTCACCTGTAAAATGGGGACATCCTGGGTGATGGTGAGAAAATGTGACTAGTGCTGAAGACAGAACAGAACAGCCCCAACAACCAAAGAGCTTGGGGAGGGGGGTGGCTGGGACCAGAAAAGCCAGCGCCCGCCCCACTCCACCCCCACGTACCTCGCACAGCCCCGGGAGCAGAGCCCTCGGTGTGGGGCTGTCCTGCGGGCAGACCCTGTGCCACAGGACTGCTCATCAGCTCCCTTCTACCCACCCTGGTGTAGATACATGCGTTTTCTTCCTAGGAGGCGGCCATGAATGCTAATTTTGCAATAAAGCCGCCTGAAATTAATTCTCTGAGCGTAAGGGCCCTATTGAATACTTTGTTTCTGCATTTTCAAATACTGATAACGTTGTGAAAGTCCCACTGTCTGGCAAGTCTGTGGAGGGCCTCCTCAGTGAGGCCGTCCCGGCTTCTCCCTGTTCATGGCCACTTAGCAGCCAGCGGCTCCTCCAGCCCAGTGCTGCTCCTTCTGCTCCGTCATGGGGCCTGGTTCTCCGTCTCGGGGTGTCCATGATCTTGAGGAACCACCTGACCTCGCTGAGCAGCATGAATTTACGTGGCGTGAATTGAGCCCTTCGGAGCATTTGTGCTGCCATCTTGAATTGGGGAAGCAGGCAGCTGGTCCCCGAGCTACTATTCAGGTAGCGTGTGGTTGGAGGGCCGGAGAGGTGGCCACAAACTCCTTGGCACAGAGCATGCGTGATTCCCATGGGTCCCGACCTGACCCAGACCAGGGTGAAGGGTCCAGAGGTCAGAGGCCCCAGGAGGAGCCAGAGTCCATGCGAGTGTGGCCCCGGGGGAGTGTCCCCGCTCCACAATTAGGAACAGGTGTCAATGGGATGTCCTCGGTCACTTTGCTACCTTTTCAAGTTGTGTCTTCTGAAATAGTCCATTATTGACTGTTAGTCAGTGGTGAATAATAGCCGCTTACTGAGTTGAGGGTTGCTTTTTGAAGAAGGGGAATTCTCAGCCACGAAGCCTAGACCGTGAGTACTTCGGCACCTGTGGAGCCAGGAGGTAGCCCTGAGTCCAGGGGTCCTGAGGGAGTCTGGGGGGACTTGGTGGATATGGGGTTGGGATCGGCGGTGCAGGGGTGAGAAGGGGAAGGACCCTGGGAGGGGGAGGGGGGAGACTGGAGGAGTAAGACCAGCGGGAGGGGCCCTGCTCCCATCCTGTCATCCTGCGTGCGCGGAGGGACAGCAGCTTCTGCCCTCCCAGGAAGTGGGCAGCCCCACGGGAAGGTCGGGCTTTGCCCTTTTGTTTTTCTTCAGGAGCAGCAAACTATAAACTGAGGGTAGGTGGGGCTCAGAAGCCCCCACACGCATCCTGTAAGAGAAGCCATTGAGGCCAGCTGGAGACAGCCGGCACTACAGGGGCTGGTGGAAAGGAAACAGCTCACTGTGCTGGGGGTCTGAGTGGGTGTCTGTGAGAAAGAGAGAAAGGGACACACACACCCCGCAGGAACAGAGACACACACAGTGACACACACGCCCTGAAAAGGTGAGGGACCACTGGTGGGAGATGAGGATGCGCTCCAGCGATGGGGAAGATCTCCTCCTCCCCCGCTGAGGACATGGGCGCCGCAGCTCAGCGAGGATGGTGGAGGTGCCTTTCTGACCGCCTGGAGCTTTGGGGCAGGGACCTGCACACCCAACAGCGGGAGAGCTCCCCAGGGTCAGGTTGGGGTCCCATCCAAGAGTGTCCCCGGCACTTTGTGGAACCTCTGGGGAGCTGCCACGGGGCGGCTCACTGGTGGCTCCAGGGAACACCGGCTTCGGCACTGTTTGGTGGTCTCTGGACATCACCTTGGGCAGGCTGCTTGCGGCAGCCTCGCACTCATGTGCACACACGCTAAGACGCCAGGAGTCAGCCTGGATCTGAGTCAGGTGACCGGGCAGGGGCACGGGGGCTTCTTCCTGGCTGCTGACAACTGCCCCGCGTGCCACGGGGTCTGAGATGACTTGTGGAGATTTCCACGCTCCTGATGGCTTGAGTTAGGACATAGCAGCTGCTGTAATACACCTAAATAAATAGTGTAAGCATAAATCTGTATCCCAAGGCCCCATTCCATATGGAAACTTTTAACGTATAATTGAGCTCTGGAGACCCCCTTTCTGTGGTGGGTCTGGAGGAGTATCCTGCGAAAGACCTGGTAGTTTTTATCTCTGACTCATGTTTCCGTTAGGAAATCCATAAAATCCTCACTTCCTGCCCTCGCCATGACCTTACCTTTCCGGGTGCCTCCATCTCCCCGCTGCACACCTCACACGAGGAGAGAAGTCACAGAGCTCCCTGGTGACCGCAGGAGCAAGACAGAGGGGGCGCCGCCCTCCTGAGCACCAGGGGCCGGGCGGGCAGCCTCAGAGAACTCACCAGAAGCCCAGCAGATGCGCTGGGAGTTACCAGGTTGATGTTGGCAAGGGGGCAGGCGGGCTCAGCAGATAGTTGGCTGGAGGAAGACAAGAGGACATAGGAGTCATGGGGGGTCTGATGCTACTCTCCTAGCATTTGGAAGCTTTCCAGAGGCAGCAGGAAACCTCAGGCTCCCATCTGGATCCCCTCCCTATCAGCAAGAATCAAAACTTCTGTGAACAAAGCGAACTAGAGATGGTCAGCATGTGTGTAAATTCACACCGAGGGCGGCACAGCCCAGCCAGCGTCAGCCAGGGTGTCGTGGTCACGGTGATGATGACGATGGTGGGAACCTAGATCGTTCTCATTTGCTGGCCACTTACGCGGACCTCAATTCCGCCAACTGCTCTGTAAGCATTCATTTCATTCCTCTTCGTACTTGCCCTATGAGTTAAGGCTGATTTCTCCCCATTTCACAGAAGAGGAAACTGAGCCCCAGAGAGGCTCAGTCATTTGTCCAGGGCCACACAGCTCATAAGAGATGAAGCAGGACTCAAACACAGATCTGTCTGGCCCCCTTCTCTACCTTCTCTGACCTGGTCCCCGCCAGGCATGAGGGACAACCTGGGACACTTCCTTATTCTGGAGGAGCCAGGGTGGGTGGGACCAATGGGCGCTAGGTAAGAGGAGAAGTTACATGGCTCTTCCTTGAGATGAGAGGCCAACACTGCTGGGAACAGGAACACCTGGTTCTCCTCACCTCCCAGGCAGCCATCCCAGCCTGAGGAAGGGGGTTACTACTGCCACAGTCACAGAGGTGGCTGCAGAGGTCCAGGGAATCAGTGCCCCTGGGACAGCACCTTCCCCCAGGAGACCATCTGATTCCCCTCCAGCAGGAGACTAAGTCCATACAGCAGGAATCTCTTTAAGCCATTAATTAAAATAATTAAACATCATTTTAAAAAATATTTAAATAATGCACATCTTTGTCCCAGTCTCACTCCTCAGAAGTAACCATTAGTAAGTAACCATTATTAAGTGGGTAACGTT